GAGCCTTTATAGAAAACTACATGCTCGCACTAGTAAGTACAAAAACTCAACCATACCCTACTTAGCTCGTGTTCTGTTCGATAAAGAAAGCATTAGGCGTGATACCTACAACTTATAAAATAGTCAGTAGAACAATTAGACCTCGTCTTCCCAACTCATATCATATAGGTACAACGTTTTCTTTCTTTCTTTTCCTTTTCCCTCTCTCTTTTTTCTGTTATGTACTGCTTTGTTTCTTTCTTCCGCTTACGCCAGCAAATATACAAGCATCTACTTTTCTAACACCTTCAAACGCTGATCAATTTTGGCTTTCTGTCTGTCTGTTTTCGACATAGAACTTTGCACAAATGTGCGGAGGTTCAAGTCGCCACACTCCGTGTAGCACGCGAAGCAAGAGAAGAAAGTACAACAAAAGCATAATAGAAACAGTGAGCAGAGGTGTGAGACAAAGGAGTAATAACGAAGAACAAAACAGTTTCATTGGAGATCATAAGTCACAAGGAGTGGATGCATCTGCGCCACTGAGAACGATTTTGAGCTAGCCATGTCACCAATTGTTTCCAACCATAGATTTTTACCGTCCCGAGGACCCCAGCCTGGAAGTCTACACCTTTCTACGTGGCTTAGACCAACTGTTGTGGATTTCATTGACTGATGCCAAGTTTTTGTTTGACCGCCGCTAGCTTTTTTCCAGCCTGACCCTATATCCGCTAACATAGCTCGTTGAGGGAGGCGATGGCTTGGCATAAGTAACACATGTCCTAACCATCTCAGTCTTTGTAGCTTCACGACTTCGTCGATTGATTTCCCCTGTTTACCTAGAACTCTACGCCTAACTTCAATGTTGCTCACCTTATTAAGCCACTTTACACGGGAAATAGAACGCAGGCACCTATGATCAAAGACAGTTAGTCTGTTCATGTCTTCCACTCTCAGTGGCCATGTCTCACAACCATAAAGGAGGACGGAGCGGACTGATGAGCAGTACACCCGCCCTTTGGTCGATAGTCGAACATCTCGTCTACACCAGAGTCGGCGTAAACTAACAAATGCGAAACGAGCCCCTTGTATTCGTGCTGAGATTTCGTCAGAGATCAGCCCGTTGGGGCTGATGGTACTTCCCAAATAAGTGAAGCGGTCAACGTGCTCTACCACTTCACTTCCTATTTTTAAACTAGGCGTCGATGTAGTCCAGTCCTGTAACATCATCTTGCATTTAGCGGGAGCGAATCGCATGCCAAACATTCGTAGATTGCAGCTCAAGGTGTTCAGAAGACTCTGCATTTTGACAGCGTCCTCACCTAGAAGGAGTATATCGTCTGCATATTCCAAGTCAACGAGATTATTCCCTGGTAGGAAGTCAATCCCTGAGTCGCTGAAGTCACCTAGGGTTAAGTCCATTAGTACATCTACGATGAAGTTGAGTAGAAATGGTGACAATTGGCATCCATGACGGACACCACTAGTCGTCACCACTTCAGGTGACAACTCGCCGTAAGCTCTCACCTGGCTGACTGCATGAGTTTGAGTAGAGTGAGTGCTTTGATCTGTGCAGTGTATTTTCTCGGCATTCCTTTTGCAGCCAAGCATCGCCAAAGTACATCTAGGTCGACAGAATCGAATGTCGCCTTTAGGTCAAGAAATATAATGATTGTTGGACGCCGGTAAGAATGCCTATGTTCTAGAATCTGTCGGAGGGTGAAGATATGACCAATACACCCTCTTCCTGGTCTAAAGCCTGTCTGGCTCTCTTGTGTTTGTGCCTCCCGAGCACCACTCAGTCTACGCATGATTATTGAGCCTAGGACTTTAGATACCACTATATTAGTCAAGCTAATCCCTCTGTGACTATCACAGGAAGACTTGTCTCCCTTCTTGTATATGGGGATAATCAGTGACTTACACCAACCCGATGGGACTTCTTCTGATTCCCAGACGCTGCCTAGTACCTCAGTTAATGCAGACAGTAAGCTGTCTCCACCGTACTTAAATACCTCTGGAGTCATTCCATCAGGTCCCGCTGCTTTGCCTAGTTTCAGATTGGTGACAGCTTTAGTAACCTCAGTTAGGGACGGAGGACCTGTGTCTATATCCCATTCAGGGAGGTGTTGGATGTTCGGAAGGTTGAGTGTGGCTGTGGGCAAATTAAACTGCTCCTCATAATGCTCTTTCCAACGATCCAGTCGTCTATCCTGGGAGCTAATTATAGTGCCATTTTTTTCCGAGATTGTCTCACTGATGATTTGGCTTCTCCCACCCGTTTCCCTGATGAGTCTAAAGAGTTGCCTGGTGTTGCCTATCCTCGAAGCTTTCTCCATCTCTTTGGCTTTTGTCGCCCACCACTGTTCACGGTCCTTGCGGAGACTTTTCGTAAGTTTCCTCTTGTGCAGCTTTCGCTCCTCATTGAATTCGGAGCTCGCCGGAATAAGTCTTCTAGCATCTATCAGTTCGGATGAGGCGGTGGAGATCCAGTGGTTTTTACTCACCTTTGGGTTTACCTTATTCACAGCTTTTACAGCTGTATCTATGGCTGCCTGGATATTTTTCCAAGCTTCTTCAGGGTGAGCACAGCTGTCGAACACAGATATGTGTTTAGCTAGTTCTTCCTCAAATACGGATTTAGTTTCCTGATCGAGCTGGGGACGTGATGGTTTTACCGCCAGCTGTTTCCTACGTCCGTTCAGTCGTAAGCACACCCGAGCGCTGACCAGTGCATGGTCGGTATCTACACACGTGTTCCAGAAGGAGCGACAATCTCCTACCGACCCACGCCAACGATAGCTTATTGCTATGTGGTCTATTTGTGTCCAGCGGTGGTTTGATGAAGGGGGTCTCCAAGTCAAACAGTGTCTCTCCTTGTGTTTAAAGTTAGTGCTTACAAGAAACAAATGATTATCAGAGCAGAACTGTAGGAGACGGTCACCGTTGTCGGTTCGCTGGCACGGAACTCCATAGGTGCCACCGACATCCTTCTCAGATTGACACAATTTCCCTACTTGAGCGTTAAAGTCACCAGCTAGAACGACTATGTCTGAGCGTTTAGCCTTTCCCACCAAACTAGACAGCTTTTGGTAGAACTCATCCTTCGTTTCATCTGAACTGCAGTCAGTGGGGGCTAGGTGGAGATTACGAAAAGGCATCGGCGAGTAGTGCAGTCCTTCCTCCTTCTTACTGGCCCGTTCAGACGGACAGCACACATTCGGCTATCTACCGGGATCCAGTCAAGCAATGTCTTTTCTGCCCTAGTACTCAAAGCTATCCCTACGCCAGCTAATCCTCGTGAACTAGCTGTGGCATCTCCTGACACCCTCAGGGTGAATTTTGCAGATTCAACCTGTTGGCCAGGTGGGGTTAGGTGAATAACCACACTTGGGTCTTGTATGCGTGTTTCTGAAACACAGCATACATCAATGGCTCGTGATGCCAGGGTCTTGGCTAGTGATGCTTGTTGTCCTATTTGGCAAAGTGTCCTAACATTAAGAGCTCCTATATGAAATTGGTGGCGCGGCTTTAAGAGGCTGTCGGTGGTGGTTTTTTGGCTTCCATCGTTTTTAGTGGACGCAGAGTGGAGAGGAAGTGGAGAGCTATCAAGTCGAGGAGTTGCATCAGTGGGAGGAAGGCAAGATGATAGAGATGAAGATGAAGACAAAGATGAGTGAGTAATAGAGAGGTTTCGCGTGCATTTCGGATTGTGAGGGCGATTGTTACTTCCCGGCTGCCCACACCGTGGAAGTTGGTTGCGTGACCGCAGAGCCCAGGGGACAACTGCTTGAGGCCGGTCACACGCGGCCTGTTTTTGTTCGTTCTTTTTTGTTTGGTGTGTCTCAGTAGCAGATTTATCACTCCTGCCCTGTGACACGGCAGCAGGGAGCGCGGTCGTTGTTAATCCGGGCCACGGCCGATCCGGCATGAAATTTTGTGATTTTGTATTGGACATGATGTTGGATTGGGTAGCTGCTTTTTGTTTAACCGCTATCCAAAAAACCTGCCTGGCATGGTAGTACCTCAAGAGACATAAGTCTCAGCCAGTATAGCTTGAATAGATCATTGCGGTGTTCAAGCCCGACCACCACGTCAAGGTAGCAGCTTTCGGTCGGGAATTTTGGCTTTGCCGACATGCTAATAAGTCGTTGTCATAATGAACTGATATTTCCTTAATCTATGTAGAATTTTCTTTATTGATAATGTACTAACTGGATGCAATACTGTAGTAAAATGCTGAGAATTCCATTCTGTATCGAAATTACTGTTTTGTAATAAAGCTATTATCATTCATTCAATATAAACACACTGATTCTATTAATACTAAGTAAAATTCCCATGCAAATAAAAGTATTTGTAGTCCACAGCTGGTTTTTATATTGACGCCGTATGCATCAATAGACACTGATATGCTTTCCAGTATCACAGGGTTATACACAAATTTGATGACAATCTCTGAAACATCCACACTACTGAGGCGTCAAACTCTCATCAAGTTTGCTTGCAGATCAACTTCACACCAAATACGTTTACACTATAGTGAGTATCGCAAATGTGTAACTTAGAAATTGATCCACAATCTCAGTAACATCTGGTGAACATAGTTTTTTTCAGAAACCTCGAGCATTTATTCCCCTTTATGAATTTGAATAAGTTTTATGAATCCTACAGAAATTACATTCTCATAATTAGGAAGCTTTAGCCATCGCATATAAGCTGAACATGCCTTAACTCTTAACTAGTATGCACAGTATTAACAGCATAGAGAAATACTTAAAATATTGTAGGTTTCACAGACCTGTTGCGTTGATGAGGATAACAATGCCATTTAATGCAACCTAGACATTCAATCGGGACACTGCATTTGCTTTCCTTCATGTTTATGGAAATTTCAGTTCATCTCCACTATTGGTAATCAAAAATATTGCAGCATTAAGTATATAATATCAACTGGAATGGTGTAACAGACAGTTGTTATTTATTATTATTGTATCCTTTAGTTCCTAGAGGAACATAGGGCTTCAGCTGCGCACCTCCATTGCCTTCTGTTTTCTGACAACTTTTTCACCCCGCTCCAGGTCGTAACAGACAGTGAATTGATAATATTAGAGCTGGCCAGATTCAGTTATTGTAATCAACACAATTCATGTGTATACTAATATTATACACTGAATCAATGCACTAATTGAAGCAATCAGGAAAATTAAACAAGTAATTGCCTTCTCTACTGCACTGCATTTGCAACATGTTGCAATCATGAGAACCACCTACATTTCTTAACCAAGCAGTCAGCTAAGCACACAATGGCACAGTATTAATAAAGTTGAGATTTTCTTATACATTGAATCCACATAACCCATATTACACTGCACCAATCAGCGCAAATATATATTAAATCCACTTAGAAATAACCTTTCAACTCACGATAATTCCTGGCAGCCTGTAGACGGACGTAGGTCATTTGATCAGCTGATGTATATTGGCGTTATTTATTGGAAAAACGTCAAGGTTAGGTACGTTGCCATCTGTTCATCTAATCGCGTAAACAAAAGTTTCCCAGACGCTGCATTTACCCCTAATAGTTTACCCTCAATTCCTAACTTAGCACGTGTTACTTATGTTACTGGAACACAATCGCGTAACAACAAAAGGAACACAGATTCATTGAAAAATTGTGCATTAAACAAAAATCAGATTTCAAATGTACAAATAATTCAGATGAGTAGTCCTCTGTTACCGTCAGTAAGTTCCATCTGCGTACACGGTACATATATGTTTTTCCATAAGTCTGAAAAGGTTTAAGAAAAGCATAATTAACTTGGGTATTACATGTATGATCTGAATAAAAAATTTTTCCTGATAAGCATTTACAGACGTTGGCTCAGACCACTATCTCGTACAAGGGACAATCCAAATCAAATTAAAAGCTTTCAGGGAATCAGGAGCTGCAGATAGACCACAAGCCAAGTTCAACACTCAAAAGCTGAAGGACCAGGCTACAAAGGACATCTTCATTGCAAGCATAAAGGACAAAGCCGAGACACAAATCAACACTAGCGAAGAGGTCGGCGTTGAAAAGCACTGGAACAACTTGAAAACGGTGTGGAGCCAAACCTGCATAGAAATTCTAGGCAGAAAAAAGAGACAGGACAAACAGTGGCTCACTTCGGACACTTGGAAACTAATAGAAGAGAGGACAGTGAAGCAAAAGATTATCCAGTGCACGGACGAGCAACAAAAACAGGAGCTGAATGCAAACTACAATACACTGAACAAAAGAGTGAAGAAAAGTGCCAGGGAAGACAAAAGAAAATATTATGAAACCATGGCAAACGAAGCAGAACAAGCTGCAGGCAAAGGAGACCTCGCCACACTCTACCAAACAACTAGGAACCTTTCGGGCAAACGTTCGACACAGATTAAGCCAATAAAGGACGACAATGGAAAGTCAATCACCAAAGAGGTGGAACAGAGAAAGCACTGGGTTGAACACTTCAAAAGACTTCTAAATCGTCCGCCACCTACAACACGTCCAGCAATACCAACAACGGAAGCAGAACTACCAGTGAACACTGACCCCCCGACGAAATCAGAAGTCCTGAATGCAATCAAGATGCTTAAAGCTGGGAAAACACCGGGACCAGATGGAATCCCAGCAGAGGCTTTGAAAATAGACCCAGAGACAACAGCGGACTTGATGACACAGCTACTGGAGAAGGTGTGGAAAGAGGGCAAAGTACCCGAGGATTGGAAGAACAGTTACTTATTCAAACTTCCAAAGAAAGGAGACTTAAGTCAATGTAAAAACTGGCGTGGAATTATGCTTCTGTCCATTCCAAGCAAGATACTAAGTCGCATCATCCTGGAGAGAATCAAACAAGCCCTAGATGAAAAACTTCGTCCGGAACAGGCTGGATTCAGGAGAAACAAATCATGTATTGATCAAATCGCCACTCTACGGATCATCATTGAACAAAGCTTGGAATGGCAGTCACCTCTCTATCTCAACTTCATCGACTTTGAAAAGGCCTTCGACAGCGTCGATCGAGAGGTCATTTGGAAACTACTTCGCTACTACGGGGTCCCATCGACAATTATACACCTCATCCAACAGTTATACGACAATGCTGCATGCCAAGTAATCCACAACGGGAAACTTACGGAAGCCTTCGAAGTGAGGACGGGATTGAGGCAAGGCTGTCTACTATCACCAATGATCTTCCTGATTGCAATTGATTGGATAATGCGACAGACAACGGCAACCAACGAGGGAACAGGCATAAAATGGACTGACACAAAAGACTTGGAGGATCTGGATTTCGCCGATGATATATGTCTGATTTCCCATAAACTGGAAGATATGCAAGTGAAAAGTAACAAGTTGGCAGAAGAAGCATCAAAGATAGGACTTCACGTGAACATAGATAAAACAGAGATAATGAAGATTCCTAGCCAACATCAACAACACCAACAGACCACAATAAGCATAAATGGGAAGAACCTGAAAGAAACAACCTCCTTCACCTACCTGGGAAGCATCGTCTCAACTACAGGCGGAACTGACGAGGACATCAAAGCCAGAATCGGAAAAGCAAGACAAGCTTTCATTACTCTCAAATCTGTGTGGAGGTCAACAGCAATCAGCATCAAAAATAAGATCCGGATTTCCAACTCAAATGTGAAGTCAGTCAGTGCTACTATACGGATCAGAGACTTGGCGAGTCATAAAGAGCATCTCAAACAAACTTCAAACCTTCATTAACAACTGTCTCCGCTCAATACTCAAGATCAGATGGCCAGAAAAGATCAGCAACAGGGATCTCTGGGAGCGAACCAATCAGGAACCGATTGTGAAACAAATAGGAAGAAAGAAATGGAGATGGATTGGCCATACGCTGAGGAAACCATCAAGTGACATCACTAGACAAGCCCTCGAGTGGAACCCGAAAGGGAGGCGGCGAGTTGGTCGTCCAAGGGTGACTTGGAGGAGGTCATGCGAGGAGGAGATGAAAGCATGTGGACAGACCTGGAGCAGGTTGAAAACGTTGTCAGAAACCGAAGTCAATGGAGGTGCGCAGCTGAAGCCCTATGTTCCTCTAGGAACTAAAGGATACAATAATAATAATAATATAAGTAGCCCAGTAGCTTTCACTAGACTTAAGGGACTTCGCAACTTATCGTTTGTCGATATCTAGTAGGTCCATCGAAGCATCATGAAATGATAAAATTATTTAACGACAAGTTATGCAGTAGTTTCCAAAGCTTGTACAAATATTTTAGCAAAAATGACAACTTTATGACAAATAATAGGTATTGACAGCAATAATAATAACGTTCATGTTCATAGTGACTATAAAAACAATAATAGTTATTATTATCGCAACGAATTCATCATTAACTTAGATAGACTACTGATAATAATACAATCATATCAAATAAATGTATCACTTAATCTTAAGAAGCATGTGTTTACTTACTTTCACTGTATTCTCTCAATACTGATGTGCTCAACAAGCTTTTTACAACTGAATTCAAGATTAATTCTGAAAGTGAGTGGAGATCCAGTTTATGCCAAATAAAAACATGTAGCTTACATGTATTAAACTGCTTACTGAGACATCTGGTACCTGCTTTCCGATCTTTGTGACAAGAATACAGTTCATCTAGGTTTACCTACATATACAAAAGTATACGTATGTGCTGCATCAACCATGCCGTTTTTATCATGTTTGGCCAGACCACTGTGTATATTATACTTATTTAAGGATCTCTGAAAATAATGGTCAAGCGATAATTGAAGTTGCGTGAAGTTATTATCTCTTCAAGACATTGTTTGCACTCTTGACACTCCTGAGAAGTCCTTATATCGTAATTTGGCATATATAACGATATATTGTAATTATTCCAAATATAAATCTCTCATTTTGAATCTCTTCAATGTCCTACTTCTAATTTGGACTAAACGCTCCCTTCTATTCTTCTTGAAGTGCTTGCAGCTAGTCAAACAGAATGTTGGGCTGTTAACAGGTTAGATTCCTATCTCTCAGAAAGAAAGCAGTACACCGTATATAAAGGGAAGTCTGCGCTACTTTCGTCAGAAATGTTGAAATTTACAATAAATCCGAGACAGCTGCATTTATAGTGTGTAAACAAATGCCTCAAAGGTAGATACTAGACGACTATAAAATAAGTGAGCAGTTTTGAAATCCTGATCAATGAATTTTGTTATTTGGTATATGGACGCCAGTTGCTACAACAGGTTCACCTGAAAACAATAGTGGTTTATTTCCACCAGACGGTGACATGTAACTTTCTAGATAGAATAATATGGTTATCAACTAACGTGTTTTGAAGACCTTCAGTGATTTGGTTATTCAGTTTTCAGCGTGTCACCATGAATTTTGCACTCAAACACATTTTCCAGCCTTGTATTTTAACGGAAGTCAATAATACGTCCCAAACTACATGTTATGGTAGATTGCCAAATAACTGAATATATGTTAATCCTCTTAGTAATGAGCCCGATTTAGACTTCTGACAGGTCACAATATCTAAGCTACCGGCGGGTTGAGGGGGCATTTAAATCCGTGGCAAACTGAGTAGAAGTTGGGTGCACAGTCTAGTCAGCTACACCACTGCTTATGCACACAACTAATACAATATTACTTTCTCATCATATTAAAACAAGTCATCTCGAAGATTGACCCTGAATTATCCTCAACTTCATCGCAATTTGATGTGTTTCTTTCATGGAAGTTCTATTTACTTATTTCCGATATAAGGACATTCATAGATAGCTTCAACAAAAATACCGGCTCTAGTAGGTGGATTTCAAAGGTTTATTAAGTAAACTTGTATGTTTTCTGAAATACTCAAGATTTCTAATTGCCTGTTATACTTTATTATTTTCGCCTTGTCAGAATTAAATTCGTAATTAAATTATTGTGATTCAATTGTGTTTATCTTTCTATACTGTCACAAATTATTTCAGTTGTTGGCTGTGGATATTCGCAAAGAACGTAATCAACTTATGTAGTGCGTACGGTACACTATGAACCAAAATTTTTTTCCAAGAATAACCATCAGCCCGTGAAATTGCGATATTGATTTTTGATCTGAATGGGAAGAAATACGAAAATATTGTGTATATGCTCGGTTTAATCACACTTATATATTTAACAAAGAAACTTTTATTATTATTATTATGTACACTCATTTCTTCAATAAATTAAAAAATAGCGTCCATCAGAATTATCTTAGTGTGTTTACGATGGACGACTGGATTTACTTTTAGGCTGGACTTTCCTTCTCACATAACGATATCGGGATGCTTTACGTCGTCTTCTTTTTCCGACTACCCGACGTACGGATGCTGTGCAAGGTTGGAGGACTGATTCCTCAGACGCTCTAAATTCACTCGATTGATCAGTTACCTGGGACTCTGAAACCATAACTTGGTCATTTGATTCTCTTATTCTTGTACCGGTTTGTTCGGATCGGATTGTTGTTGTTGGTTGAGTGCGGGATGTCGGTATATGAAAAATGTGCCACCATAGAAAACATGGCAATGAACAAAGACGAGGGACTCCCGGGCACGCCGCGCAAACCGTGGTGACGTTCGTTTCATAGTAAACCTCCTTTCTCAGTTTACAGGCAAGACAATCTGTTGAGTCACTGACGACAACACTACCACGTAAGCATTCACATAATTTGTCTATAGTAGTTAACTCGTGTTCATCACTTGATGATTCGTATGCTTGTTGGGAAGTAGAACTACTGCAGGTACTGCTCATTTGACTGTTAGCAGGTACTGTATCATCCTCTACATGATTCGATGGTCCACAAAAATCATGATTATTTGTTGTCTCTCCATTCTCAATATTCTCTAAAATGTGATTAATATATAAAAACGAAATCCACTTCAGTTAGAATTTCTTAACATCAACAAGTTCACACTGAATTTACCTCTTAATTTTTAACTTTGTACTGTCACCCTTATTGATTGCAAGTCTAAAACAACTGTATGCAGCTGAAGCCTGGTAGTGAATTCCGCTTGTCAGGGATTAATTAACTCCCACTGCCAAAGTATTTCTGCAACTTTGTTTTCACCAACCAGTCAGTGACTACTCTACATAAGGACATTCGTGTGACCATAGTAGAAAATAAGGTACATAGTTCTATTGTGTGACGAAATGTCGCAGAAGAAAGTTGTCCTGCAAAAACGATAAATATCTATAAAAACTAACTAGTGAGAAATTATAAGTTATGACAATATGCTATTTAGATCTAAATACTGCTACCATCACAAGGATATTAGAGATGGTCATAGAGAAAGCATGAAGCTGATCTCCATTTCCAAGTTGTTAGTCAATATACGCTAGTACATTAACTAAAGCTCAACACAGAAAACTACCTCTGACAGCTCATAGTTGACATTACCGTTTAAAGAAGCATTTCACAAGTCCAATTATCCACTTGCTTAACTCCTAAAAAATTCCTAATGAGTTTGCCAGCTTACCGGATAGGAACACCTGTAGCGCTAAATGCACACTACCACTTACTGACTGTTTGAGTTTTCGATATGAAACTTTACGACAAAAGTGAGGCAGTTTAGGTTGCCACGCTCCATGAGGCGCAAAAATTGAAAAAGAGAAAGGACCTATTGGAAAAGGAAATTTGCAAAATAATGAATAATTATATTGGAAATAACGAAGACTTAATGGCTCTGAGACATTATAAACAGCGAATGCAACTATGCAATTAACAACGACTCTCAGTCATATCATCAACAGTCTTACATCTCGAGAAATACAGCCAGACAGTCCACATCTCATTACGTGACTCAAACCACCGGTCAAAGGCACCAAGCATTGATGTCAAGTTTTGACTGCACCACAACTAACTCTCTTCCAACTTAATCTCAGGTCGGTTAAGACTGCTTGACAAGGAAGGTGATGGCCTCAAATACATAACACATGTCCTAACCATCTCAATTGATCCAGCTCCAGAACTTTAGCAGTTAACTTGCCTCTCTCACCTAACTTTCTACACCCAACCTCTATATAAATCACCATATTATGCCATTTAACACGGGAGACAGGACGCGAACAATTATGGCCATGCACAGCCGATCTTTTCTTATTCTCCTCCTTTTACGGCCCCGTCTCAGTCTTAGAGAGAGAGAGAGAGAGAGAGGAAAAGCGAACTGCTGAGCACTACATATCTTTTTTCGATAGCCAAACATCACGCCAACACCAAGGATAACTTAAGCTAGCAAATGCACACAAGCCTTTCGTATCTGTGCTGAGCTTTCGTCAGCAATCACTACATTAATGCTGATGCAACTTCTCGAATAAATGTAGTGGTCAACACGCCCAACCACTTTACTTCCTACCGATGCACAACGCTCATCTAGAATTATCTTACATTTCACAGAAGCGAATCACATGTCAAACATACTAAGATTTTTGCTCAACGTGTTCAGAAGACTCCACATATCGTCACCAGATTTACCTACAAGAACAATATCATTTGCATACTATATAGAAATGAGACTGCTCCTTACAACAAGTCGATAAAGTCAATTACGGTTGCATTTATCAGTGTTTATACGATGAAATTAAACAAAAATGGAGACACTGGGCATCCCTGACGGACATCACTGGTCCTCAGATGACAACTTTCCGTATGCTCTTGCACGGCTGTGTGATTTCCAGTAGAATGCTCTCATTGGTGTAGTGTTCTTTCTCGGCACTTTCTTCACCATCAGACATTGCCACGGCATCTTTCATTCAACAGAATAGAATGTCGCCCTCAGGTGGAGATATGGAAAGTGTCGGACACCAGCAAGTATGTCTATGTTTATTGAAGGCCGAAGATAAGACCAATACAACATCGTCCGAACCTAAAGCCTGCTTCGTCCCCCGGAGTTTGTTTCTCCTGAGCAACACACTCTTCACGAGATTTCTGGACCTAGAGTTCTAGATGTTGTTAGTCAAGCCAATTTCCACCACTCTCCTCCAATCTTGATTGTCTCTGGGATAATCAAGAATTTACACCAGTCTAACAGAACTGACTAACTAGCCTAGTTTCAACATAGAACTTTGTACAGAAGTGCACCAGTTCAAGTTGCCACACTCCATGCAGCACACAAAGGCAGGAAAAAGAGAAAAACAGATTGATATCAGCTAGAGAACCATTAAAAACGAGGGGGTACTGGATAGCTGTTTCATTCTAGTTTGGGAATCATAGGCAGCACGCACCCACTGTGGTTTGACCCAGGACCTTCCAGTTACAAAGCAAGCTCGTGATCAAACCTGTATGAACAAATCTATTCCTTACAAACCAAACTCGAGAAAAAAATTCAAAAGAACCATATAAAGCAGAAATGTACGAGAGAAAGAATAGTAACATGGAAAAATGACGGTTTAGTGGATTTGGAAGATTAAAAAGGGTGGATGCATCTGCGCCATTAAGAGCAATTTTGAGCTGTGTTCACCAACAGTCTCCAGCTATTGGTACTCAGCATCCTGACAACTCTAACCAGTCTAACGGGACTGTCTCGGATCCCCACATACTCCTTAATACCTTTGTTGACTCGGTGCTGAGTTCATCACCATCTTTAAACACCTCTGGAGTTACATCAGGTCCCGCTGCTTCACCGTGTTTCACACTAGAAATCAATGTATGGATCTGCTCCACAGCCTATTCAAAGTTATGAGAACAGGCAAATGATCAAATATTCGTAACTATATCATCTATTCTCACTTTTATTTCCCAAAATATATACATATATATATATATTCATCGGCGAGAGTCCTAACCACTGTGCCACACATTAACGCAGTGATACACGAAACGAAAACAATCTTCAAATTCTACCGTCTAAATTGAAGCATCGTCTTTCGCTTATTTAAGCAGAATTCATGCAAATAAATACATTTGAATGCAATCTTAATCCATGACATTATATTCCATTTTAGATGTAAGTAAACATATCTATAGGTGTCAATAGAACACTATAGTGTCGTGAGGAGTAAGCCTATTATCGTTCATCAGTAAAAAGTGGCTCACATCACAGAATGCACGTAAAAACTATCAGAAAAACCTGCATTTTACACACTGGGGTTTTGGAACTTACCCAAAAGAACCTGATGAAGGATGAAATGAGTGGTATTGGCAATCAGTTGTAATATTAGAATTAAGCGTGTTGAAGGGTGAGCCGATGGAAAATGCCTCTTCTTCAAATATCTGTTGGCTAATTTCATGAGGATTTTCCGACCTAGTCATTATTATTTTCTGAACTTTTACATGGAACAGACACCAGCGAAACACAATCGGCCTTACGACTAGCCCTAACCAGTCTGATGAAAGTGTCTCAGATTCCTATACACTCCTTAATATCTTAGTAAACTCGGTGCATAATTCATCATCACCTTAAAACACCTCCGGAGTTATATCACTAAGTTCTGTTCTTAAGCGTTGCGGATTAGGAACACCTGTAACTTGTGTTTAATATTTGGAAGACTGACGTCTACAACCCACATAGCTGGGCAAGTTTAGCGTGGCTGTAAACCGGTCAAATCGCTTTACAATGTACCCCCTTCGTCATCATCTCATTATCATGTTCACTTAGTTCACGTATTTCCTCCTTCCCACAGATATCAATGAGTCCTTACTAATTGCTGTGTAAAGTGAACATTTTTTTGACTTTTCCCAAGATATGACTCCTAAATTTCTCCTTGATCAGCATTATTAGTACATTTTCAGCAATGTGCTGCATACTGCACAGTGGTCATTCCTTAGTGAAATCCTGAATAATCGTCATTATACATCAAGTTGACACAGAAAGCAGACAGCACTTTGGATTAAGAATGTAATTTCATCTGTCTCACCTATTCTAATCTTTTCGCAGCACATGTACAGTTGAGATCTCCAGCCTCAAGGCGATGACGGTTAGACAATCGGTCACTATAAATCATTCTGATAAAAATATTTTTATTCTGAAATGAAGTTGAAGAACACAGTCGGGGGGACAAACACACCAGTGACCTTGGGACTGTCAACTCGGATCCTTAACTCAACCACTGCGTAATATACTCCCGCCTGCCACTACCGCAGCCTTAACCTAACCCTAATCTGACTTCAAACTAGCAAAATCAGATGTTCTTACTGGATTTAGTACTCTTATGAGTACACTGTTATTCAACTGATTTCGCTGCCTGGCTGAGATCAAGATTTCCAGGGTCAATCTTGCGTCCATTCCTCAGTGTCTATTCTTTACTTTCGCCGAGAGAATCACATGACAGCAGCTAAAAAGATTTGAGGATCATAACTTATTCTAATTGTAATATAATCCCTCAAGTTGATGAAGTATCAAACTGATATGTGCAGTCACCCAGTCAACAGATGACTACTTTGAAGACGAGGAAGTCAATCTAACCCAAACCCATTGCACTTAGTTGACTGGTTTTCTGATTCTAATGAAATAACAAATACTATCTCCCTGTGCTACTTGCTTTCCAAATGACTTGCCGTCTTAGGGTCATTTATACAAATGTAAAGTTCACTCCCAAAAATGTGATACATACCACTGCCAACAACACTGTTTTGATCATCACTTAGTTGTGAATCCACCTCGGTGTCCATACTCTGTTGAGCTGTTACATATGCTTCCTGAACACTTACTGTATTTGTACCTGAAAATAAATCATTGATAAGTCTTGAGAAACATATTACCTCTCCTTCTCATCTCTATAACGCCTCCTAAATTTCTAAGATCTCTGGATATCAAACTGACGATATGTTGCTGCAGGGCGCATGTCATGTTTAATGCATGACCCAGGTCAGTAAAGTCCATATCGCCAGTCAAAGCATGCGCATAATGAATCTGAGACAAAATTATAAAAGAAAGTTGTACATTTACCGCGTCAGCATACTGCCTCAGATAGTCACGTGAGTCACCAGTCATAATTGAAATCCAACTGCGCGCCTTAAATTGGGATTCAATATCCAATATCGTTTGTACAAGCTAGTATTTGATTTCCACTCTCACTGACCTTTAATTCCTCCACTGCGTTCAGAAGAAAAATCCTGGAAGAGCTGAATATTTTTGTTAAGGCATTTTTGTTGCTTTTAAGCTGTCATTTCACGATGTAAACACTAAATTTGAGGTCTTCAGTGCTAGGATTGATTAACTATTAATATAGTGTTCAAAGTACTGATCTTTTGGGAATTTCGTCGAAAAATTTCATCATGAGCTGACATCAGTTAGAGAACCATTGGAAAACTTGGGAGTGCTGGACAGAAGACATTGCAAAGTGGACGCGCTATATCATGAATTGGCCGAAGTTAAAATTCATGGGCCATTGAATCGGGTCTCAGAGTCTGCCGAATGGCATGCGAGCCTCCCTTGTAACCAGAAGGTCCTGGGTTCCGACCCCAGTTAGTGTATACTGATCAAGAGTCCCAATATAGGACGAGACAGTTTTCCAGTACTCCCAAGTTTTCCAATGGTTCTCCAACCAATATAGTGTCCCATTAAACTCTGATGTAATTCTCCATCATTGGCTGATTATTGATCAGTTTCCGTGATCGTCAATCAGTCAATAGAAGGTGAATAAAGTCGTCTCAGAATTCATGTTCATGTTTTGACAGAAGACAGATATAGGTGAGTATTTGTTGATCCTTTTCTATTGGGGTTGTTTCCATTCACCTGTCTCAAACTATATTTTAAAGAGATAGGCAGCGCTTGTTTAAGATCTATTCCAAAGGGTTAATGACTAAATGGCACACATAGTGCATCACAGAGACAGAGCTGGTTGCTGTCTTCTGCAGTCTCCTAGCGTGCCCTGTGTGGTGCTCTGACTTCAAAGTAAAAGAACTTAGACCGGGTCCATTGTTACTCCCTAAAATTCTGTACGATATAGACTGTCTTTCTTTGTAACGTGGAAGTGAAAACACACTTAACCTTTGTAGCAGTAAATAATTCCCCGAAATTATTGACCACAGCACTCATCACTGAAAATTGGGTGCCGACACTCACTGTTTATTTCAACTTGTTTAGCTGAAGGCTTCTGGTCAATCGTCCACGCCATTTGGTACTCCGTCGTGTCACAGTGGTTCGTTCGTGCACGATTCTTAACTTAACGTGTTTATTTTTGAATATTAAATAAAAATTGTCCATTCGCCTCCACGAATGGACAATTTTTACAATATTCAAGTTGAGTACACACACACGAAAATAAAGTACAAATCAAAACAAAAAATCAATAGAAAAAGTACAAAATAATGAATAATAAATAACTTAAGTAACCTTCGTAAAGATGAATAAATGTAGGAAAGTAAATTACTCAATTGAGCTATCAAAAGTAATCGACAGAAGTGTGGAAAAATTAGCACAGCAGCCCATGTTGAACACAATGATGTGCACTTATTCCGAAGCACTGTCAGTTAGAAGTGTTTGTACATACATATGCACCGACACTATCATGATCATAGCACAAGACACTTGAGTTCATGGCCGACTTTTTCATTGTGGACGACAACACCGACGACGACTGATTGATACCAGTTGATGAACATCATGAAATGTAATACAAGTCTGTAATAATTTTGAGCATGTGAATGTTGCTTGCAAGGGCAAGGCATATATCCCGGGAGATAGCTGACACAGTGTCAACACCAAACGCGGATACTAATATCTCTAATGTATTAATATCTGATTATCACAAAGGTGTCTCTCATTGCATACAATGTCCAAACCAAATACCATACTTCTTCTATGGGGTTTTGCGGTTCAATCGTTTCTGTGGGATTTCTATGTGAGCATACACCGTAGTAGGACTGACTACTGCGGTGCGTTCGTCATTTCTCATACTCAAATCTCGAGCTTGTGAGATGGAGCTAAGGGTGTTAAGTATTAAACCTAGCGTGCCAAATCGTGGTGTTTGAAGTGAGTGTCGATAGTCTCTTCAGTTTCGTACGATCCTATCGTTTTATAAATGACTTTCTATGTGGGAAACCTCTAGTGTTTGGAGTGGAATGGCAGCATCTAAGCATGTGTTCGACTTCTGGCAGAAGATTCTTGGAGCTCTCAATAATAATTAATAATGATTTGCTTTATTCAAAAACAGTACTTGTGATACAGAATAGAATTTTCAGCATTAATCACAATGTTATTGCATCTAATTTCCTCAAATTATAAATAAAAATTAATCACTCAGAAAATTTTCCACATTTACAATAGAGGTAGTGTCAAAAACATGCAGCATATAAAATGGAAATAACAATAATAATGATAACAGCTAGGGTAATAATAATAAGAATGCAAGTGAAAAATGCCGTTGGCTTGCGTCATACAGTATTGTCAATGTGGTATGGAAATCCTAACATGTTTAAAAATATTGAATATAATGTTCTTTTTACATGATATGGTGAGGGGAAAAACAAAGATTACAGGCGTCATGGAGATAAGTTGGTGTTTGCAATTCTGAGAGTAGAAAACAGAGAAGTAACAGGACCATAAATATAATAGAAATAATAAAAGTAAAACTTGAAGGTATATAAGGATGGATGGAGGAAATTGTTTATTTACTAGATGAAAAAAGGTTAGTTAATTCTTGTCTGACACTATTTTCATCACATAAAATACGTGCCAAGTATGGTATTGTAGCGGTAAATATTTCCCCAAAATTATTGACCACAGCAATCACTCATTGAATGCTGACCCTCACTGTTTAAGTCGACTTGTTTAGCTGAAGGCTTCCGGTCAAGCAACCCGCCATTTGGTACCTCGTCGTGTCACGTGCACGATCACTAGCTAGCTAAGCGTTCGTCTAACGGCTGGTTTTGGTTACTAAATATATATCTTGGTTTGGACGATCAATTATTGGCTTTTGCTTTGTCTTTGGTACGCGAGAATAAATTAATTAGAAGTTGTTGAACGAGATATCACGTCAAACCTTTAATATCAGTCAACCTTTAAAGTATCATAGAATTTTTGTACTTAGATGTGCGAGCATACAGTTTTATGAAGTTACTCCTTGTTCTACCTGAGGAGATGTAAGGTGAAAGCTGAGGGTAAAGCGGATGCTCCAAGTCAGATAAAATCCCTTTAGCAAATTTATTGCACGAAGTCAAGTGCCTATCGACAACGACGTTAACTATGTGGTCCACTGGGACACCACTCACCCTACTGACAGTCTTCAGTATTCTACGAATTGTGATAGTCTTTTTTAATCAAACCAGGAAAGAATAAGGGTGGACAATAAAGAAGAATAGGTAGGATGCAAGAGTTTATGAACTGTAAGAGGAGTGGTTGAGTTATACCCGAGTGTCTTAACTTCTAAATGTAAAATGTCAGGCGGAATATTTTACTGGAGATTGCTAACACATGGGGAGACCAGGAGAGATCAGAAGAGAGAATGAGTCCAAGATACTTAATTTCTGATTTGATTCCTATATCATTGTCGTCAATTTTACAACTGTCACGAGAATCGATGACTTCTTTTAACTGTCATTTACATCTTAAGCTGAAATCAACAGTTCGACACTTAGAAGGATTCAGTTTAAGACCGTTAGACTCAGACCTTTTACTGACTCCCGATAGAAAGCTATTTATTTTGGCACAATCTAGCTGGGAGTTAACAGCCATTGAAACCGTTAAATCATCAGCGTACTTCACAAAGCTTATTTCATCAGAGTGAGGCGAGTCGTGCAAGAAGAAAGAAAAAAGAAAAGGAGAAAGGACAGTGCCTTGAGGGACACCAGCTTCAGTAGGCAATGAAGTGGAAGACTTCCCTTTATATACGGTGTACTGCTTTATTTCTGAGAAATAGGAATGTAACCAGTTAACAGCCAAACATTCTGTTTGACTGGCTGCAAGTTTATTTAATAAGATGTCCCTAGGGACCGAGTCAAAAGCAGATGTATAGTCTAGGAAGGCACAACGAACAAATTTAGCCCCCTTGTCTAGCCTGGAAGCAATGTCATGATATAAGACGGCAGCTGCATCTAAAGTGCTTCTACTGTGCTTATAGGCAAATTGTTTAGGGTCATTAAAGGATTTAAGCGAAGGTACAAGACTAAGTAAAAGTAATTTCTCCATAGTTTTCAAAACAGGAGAGGTAATAGCAATGGGTCTAAATTTGACACATGCTCCAGTAGAAGATTTAGGTATGGGTACAACTTTAATTTCCTTCCAAACGGCAGGCACAATATTATCGGAAAAAGATTTGTTAAATAGATCAGTGAGAGGGTGACACAGAATATCAGAACATTTTTTAAACATAATACTATGTACATAATCGGGACCTAAGCTCTGGGAAGGGTTTAGAGACTTGAGACACTTTTGAACATCAAGAAGGCATCAGTTGTGAAGTATTCATCCCATTCAGAGGATCTTAGCATTGATACTACGAAAGCACAGTTTGCCCTACTATATTTCTTATATATTACTTATTGTGAAGTGGAGGTATGAGTTCCATTGCTACTCAGTGGGAGTGGCAGTGCACACATCACAGTTTTGTGGTAACTCCCTGAAAACTTAGAGTCCAGTAAGATTGAGAGGGGACATAAAGCGTAACAGAATATTAAGTCCAGTACGCTGGCACTTCTTGTAAGGATAATGAAAGTTGGATCGCAACGAAAATGTCCAATATACCTAAGAGGATTTCATATAAGCTTCGGCCAATCAATAAATCTCAGTTGCTTTCTGAGAGGTTGAAGTCCTCAAAAATGAAAACAGTTCTGTAAAAGAAACAAAGATCTTTTCGGTGGACAGTCTGTTGAAACTGCTCAGCCACTATGGTGGTCAACGGTGGCTGCAATCCCGTGGGTCCTAATGTATTTCTTGAGTTTTCCTTAAACACAATTTATTTTCTACTTCAATATTTCTCACTCACACAGTCTAGTATTCTGTGTTTCTTGCGAATTAACTGTGACAAGCTGTGGCAATAATGTGCTTCGTTAATGAAGTCTTTTTATAGAAGTTCATTGCAGGTAATCAGTGAGAGTGGAAGCAGCACATGTGTAAGAGGCTGCAAACGTATTAGAAGACTTTCAAAACGTAAGGACCTTGTAAATTGCTAACAGTAACGACTTTTTCACATACCAGTATGTGACTACGTTCAAATGCAGAGGAAAAAATGGTGAATGAGACGTTGTATAGTAGTGAGACAACTTTGTGAAACTTTCATCTAGCGTGTATGTCTCTCCCTAATATTTTTGTCCTAACAAAGTATTATCAAATATATTCTTCTAGTGTGATTCGATGGCACAATTTCTGGCAGTTAATAATATCATGTATGCGTAATATTCATGATATTTTCTGCACCATTAATGTGCTCCACATTTCAAAAGAATTGTAAACTAGAATGACTGAGTTTACTGCATGTTAATTGTGTAAATGCTTAATTTATGTAAGTGAAATTAATCTGTATCACTTCTAGGAATGAAGAGCCGTAATGAGGTCTGTCGGTTAGTCAAATTCAGCGGGAAGCAGATGCAGTAGGACTCGGACGAAGACATTAGAAAAACGCTGACGAGTGTTTTACGAGTTATGACCATATACATTTGCATAATCAGTTGTATGAATCGATTCTACATACAACAGCAAGAGAAGTGAAGTTCACTCATTCACTTATAACCATGCAGATATTCTTTGTTTCAGTTTGTGATGCCGGATAACTTTGGATGTGGGCATACAGTTATGTTTACTTGAACTTCGGAAGAATTTAAACGTGACGCAATTTGGAAACTGAGCAGTTCCCGTCGAATAATGGGAGATACTTCCCAAACGAAGACTTCCATCCCTGACTGTTCTCGGCCTATACATGTAAACAAACTTGTTTGCGTCGCAGTGAGACAATTTTTTCTATCTAATATTCTTGTGTCCTATTTGATCTGCATGCGGTGGGAGTACGGCATGCTAGACTGGTACTCCCCAGGATATGAACTCGTTACTGCACGTGAGTGTAATTCTGTACGAACACCATTGATCGATATAAGCGGTGAATTATAAGTGCTTTAGTCAAGCGTAAACATCTGCCCAAGGTTGCGCAATTGCGTATCCTAGAAATAGGTAAATCTGTAGGGACTAATGACAAAATTACCTAAGCTCTGTATTTGAAAAATAAGAATAGAACTTAGACACTGCGGTGGAAATTGATTTCGTATAAGATTTAGTGTATTCAAAAGTAGTGCATTCTTATTATTTCACTTAAAGCGTGATGTCAATCGATATGATTATACCGCAGAACGAAGTCTACATGTGGCAAATAATTGAGTAGATGGAGCGGTGGCAGTCGTAGCAATATTCCGCTTACATTGAATTGTGCCACCAACTACTTTCTCAGGTCTCATTGATAAGTCAAGCCTCCATATCGTCATGATGAAAAATTCAGTTTCACTCAGATAGAATAAGAAAAGTATGGTAAGCAGGATGTTAAATATATTTAGTGAAAAACAATAACAAGCAGATTTCTTTACACAATTGTTTCTCGTAATTATTTTGGCGATGTCGAATTGCTGTGACCAGGTTGACTGACATTACCCGACATCTGCGAACAAGTGAATAAAGTGTATTTATAAACCACTGAATTTAGGAAAAAGGTAACGTAAAAGTTAAATGCTTTATATTTGCCTACCTTTTCTGAAAACGGTTTATTCTCCTTTCTTATTCCTTTGTCATGACAGAATTCTTCTGTGGTTTTCATTGTCACATACATTGTTCACCTTGTAAAGTATAGCACTAAGCAAATGATAATAATTATATACGTCATCTTAACGGGTGCTTGCAAGGAACGCATGCCACTTTACAGGTACAATCAGTTATGTTATAAACTGCAATCGTGAAGTATCATAAATTAATACTTTTTACAAAAGTTTTAAAAGTTTAAAACCATTCACCTCATATCATACTGGCCAGATATACCTGAAACCTGGTTTCAGATAGCCGAAGCAGATTTTTGTGAGCATGGGATAACCGATCAACGTTCACAGTTACTTGCAGTTATTCACGCCCTACCTCGGGAATTCAGCAAAAGCGTAACTTTACAGATGTCGAGTCCCGAGGTAAGTAACTCGTACGAGTTGCTCATAGATCGACGGCGTCTGGACGAATTATTTCGGAACATAGAGTTGGGGGTCAGTCAGCTGTGAGCATGCTGACAAGAATGAGAGAGGTTGTTGGCCAAAGCCAGTTCGATGAAGGACTCTTCTTGCCCAAGCTGCCACAGTCCGTGCAGACTGTAGTTGTGACACTTCAGTGTGTTATAATAGATGACTTAGCTATTTCTGCAGATGATTCTAGAAATAACTAAACAGTCAGTTCCTGAAATATGCTCGGTGACTAAGCAGACTTCGAGTAAGGATACTGCAGTGATAGAGTTATGCAACTCCATTCAGCAGATGTTAAGGTCAAACATGCCCTCTAACTCCGACCGTCGTCCTAAATCCCCTCAACGCTGAAACTCACGTGGTCGACCTAAGTCTAGGCCAAGTTTACTGGAAAACCCTGACTGGTGCTGGTACCACAACACCTATAGCCAAGCAGCAAAATGTAACCGTAAACCTTGTAACTTTGGAAATGTCTCAAAGTCTGTGGGAAACTATCCCACCGGCACGCGTTAGCGGCAGCCATCACCGGTGGCACTAGCCGCCTACTTTACATCCATGATGTGATCAGCCAGACTTGATATTTAGTCTCTTGAAAATCCCCATTTAGTCATATGAAAAAGAGAAGACGTTCAGCGAAGAGACTCTTTTCGGCGAATTCATTCACATAGCTGTACAATCGCATTTATATATAATTATTTGAGTGTGTGTGTGTACATGAGGTTTGTCAAAATTAGATAATTGATCAGGTAATAAAAGAATGATCTAATATAGAAACAAAGTTAATTGGACAGCAACTAAATTAAGATTGAGTTAGTAAGTTAGATGACGTAATACAATTGACTAAAATGTTTTAACTTAGGTCAGGTTAGCAACAGAGGTAATTACAGGTAGAGACTAAGTAGAAGTGGGGTAGATAATAATGCCATTTAGATTAGAAATGAAATTGAGCAATTAAGTTGGATGACGTAACATAAATGACTATAAATTGAGCGTTGGTCAGGTAGTAGACAGAGCTGTAAAAGCTGTTAATAACATTAAACCAAAAGTAAGTGAAGGCCAGTGGATTTCTATTAAAACATCCGAACGGATTAAGACAAGAAGACTGATTCCTGCGAACTCTGATTATCATTAGCAGCGAAAGCTGATCAGATACAAAACAACGAAGAAGCCTTCAAAATGATTATGAACAGTGGAGGAAGACATAAGCGAAAGAGAGAAAAGGTGAACATAGACGAGTTCAATTCTGTTACGCATTATTACTGTTGGTCAGGCATCATCATCACCAGACTCCATTCAGCGTGATATTTAAAGTAACATTGAGCCGGTCAAGGGGATTTCGCTTACATCTTCTTCATGCAGTCGAAGCTCTAGCCATCCTCAAGGAAAAATCTTGGTTTTGTGCTCAGAAAGGTCTTCTCAGCCTCAGTGTTGCCCCCCCCACCTCTTGCATAGTAAACTCCATATAGATTCTTCTCAGAACACACCTTCGATTCTCTGTGTTCTTCTTTTTTATCACCCTTTAATCGATTGGTTGAATTATGCGAGACCATTCGACATTTATTACACATTGCTACTTCTCAAACACTTTCATTTATCTTTGTTACTAGATCACAAAAGCCTCTGACGCTTATTGACAATTGGCGTTGTGCATATGAAACTATAGATAACTGTGCATCTTTGATGAGACATTGCGAGAAGATCTCTTTGTTAACTTACTTCTTATTAATTCACATCACATGAGGATTTTCCATACCTTGATGAAATCCAAATGCCCATCGATATTAAACGAGCTCCTCCTTTCCCTTTTATTTTCTGACTGATTGAGTGGCTTTCACCAAATAACTCAGCAAACTGTGAGATGTCCTCAATACTTAACTAGAAAATGTCCTCCGAGTTCAACGCCATATTCCATAGTGTCTTGTGTCACTTGATCTATGCCTAAATAAACAGTTTTTAATAGGCAAACAATATAATGAATCAGAGCTCCTACAGGTTCACACCTAAGACCATGATATCTATAAGTACTATTCTACTTGATTGAAAACCATACCATAATGTAATTAGTGGTGTATACACTATTGTTGTCGCCGTTAAGTGCCTATTAATAAATAATCCAAACACTCGTTTCACACCCTATAGCTACTCAAGAGAATTCGCCCTGCGTGATATTGAAAAGCAGGCAATTAGAATCAACAATGATGTTATCCATGATTTTTTATTATCTGCAAAAGTAGGAAATGCTCTGTACAATCGACAAACCAGGAGAAAGCATCAGTATTTTGTCTACCGGCATCTTCTGGGTTTATGCTGTTCTCTTGATTAGATGGATTCCCGAGTCCGTATACACGGGGCCACACATTTCACCCACCTTCAGAGTGAATGCTGCATCTTCGAATGCTTTCTGCATTTGACCTCGACCAAAGAAATTTAAGTCGCCACCTGATGCAGCTGAAGAACAGTCACTCTCAGTTCTGGCAAGTTCATCAAATTTACGTTCACCAGATTCTATAAGTTCCTTGTATTCTGAAAGCAAATAAAACACATTTGATTGAGAATTAAAATCACTGGGTTGATGAAATGCAACCAATAGAAAATACTCCAGAAATCGTTGCAATTTTTACATGGCTATCATAATGATATTCATAGTAATAATACTAAATGTTTCACTTAACTAAACAATAGTTTACACGTAATTGTGGAATACAATGTACCTACTTACTGTTTAGTTTATACACCTTTTTTCGACTTCAGTGCTGTTGTAGGTTCCAAAACGAATAATATGCTATTAAGATTGATATTTCTGTTTATAACTACTAAAGCTTACTTAGAAAATCATACAACTTAGAGGCTATATTTTTGACAGCTTCTCTTCAGTCTGTCATTACAATAGACTACATGTGAAAGTAAGTGAAAATAGTTTACAATTCCTTTCTGGAAATCTCCCTCTCTCCATGAAACAAACATTACCATTCATAGAGAAAGCCAGTTTCGTACACCATAGACTTCATATCCACCCATACTATCGGTAAAGATGGAACCATTTTACACAAATTTGTCTGTGCTCAGTTACATCATCAGTACCAACAGACTTATTCATATAGGACGAATTAATATGAGGAAAATATTGTAAAGGTTTCGCAAGAAGAAAGCTCCTGTGAAAGCAAATGGCGTATTGCTTCTAGCTGTCATTAAACAATTACCTACATGATATGGAAAAACGGATTTGTTGAATCAGTGGGGGAAACCTAGTCACCATTTTGTTTAGCAGTGCATGCCACTAACACTAGTAAAAGCGTAACCACGTTATCTGGGAAGTGTTAATAGAACAGATAACGCGCCAAAAGGAATTGAAAAACTAAGCGACAACACTTAACCATTATTAATCATGAATTAGTACAGTTATCTGATGAGTATTCTCAATGCATACACTTCTATCATAAGAAGAAACTTACTTCTAATTAAAAATAAGGCCTCGTCTTTAGACCTCGTTATGTTTTGCTGTTTCCAGGATGAAGGACGCCGAGATTCCTTGTGCTTTACCAGCAAGTGTGAACACCTTATTTTACCTGAAGACGACGAAGCCGGATGTTGGGGTAATTCCCACTGAGATTCGTTTGTGACAATATTCACATAATACGTCTTTCCTTACGGAAATGTTTTATAAGCTAAGAAGCATTAGAAACAAACCATTGGAGCTGATACGAGAAACCCAACCCTCAGGCAGTGATGACATGACGCAGTTAGTCCGTGGATAGTAGTACAAACCTGAAAGCAATTATTATGTGAAACTAATATCATACAATTACACAGGAAGAGTGGAGTTGTAAAGTAACAAGCTGAGCCAAAACTAAGGAGTACACTGTTTCTATCAAGGAGTGTGGTTACTCATTTCACAACTCAAAAGGTCAGAGAAACTAGTTAAGGACGTAACAAATATTGCAGCAAGCCAGGTGAAAATAGGTATGTGAAACTCCATTATAACTATGAGATTTAATGACCTTCAAATGATGCGGAAACCTTTAGACAGAGATATTCATAATAAGCACTTAAATACATTTTCCTTATCGATTATTACACCACTGTGCACGCACTCTCCTTAACTTGTTAAAACCATGATCATATTATTCCCTCTAGCAAACGCATATCGCGACAGCGTCAAAGATAGCAGGTAAATCATCTGTGGAGATGCCTCATTTGCTTTAGCACTTCAAGTTTGTGCTTATAAATGTAGTAGTTATTAACGAAGATATTTCTTTCGGGATTGTATATAATGTATTTAACTGATTTTATCAGACATTTTCTCTGCAGATCGGAGCAATACATTTCTGATATCTTACTTCTTACGCACAGTTAGTGTATTCAAAGCCCACTTAAGTCAACATGCCAACTGCAGGTGTTAAAATTAAGACATGCACTTACGGTGACATGGTTTCCCCAAAAAATAATCGCGTCCTGGAAGCTAGATAGCAACAGGCCTACCAGGTATTAGAGTGACAGTGCATGTAGATGGGTCATTCCGAGTCGAAATGAAACATCCAGGAGGACTGAAGTGGAAATCAAGATTGCAATCACTTTTTAAACTTGCAAGTTTAGGGAAGTACATATTTTTCCTTAGGTACTGGAACTAGGTTTCTCAGTTGGTCACCCTAGAAAGTCCAATATATACACAGAACTACGGAACCAGGTGAAGACCGAACTACGTACACAAAGCATGCACGCCTTTTGTGATGAATGAGATTGTCCGCTTCAAGATTGTTTTAAAGGTTCCCCAGATGGGGGATGGCTGCTGTAGATCAGCTTCGCTGACCACCCCGTTTAATGTACTACTCTATGAGATCCTGAATACTCTGACTCTTAATGCATCCAAATAAAGGACCTAACCTCAAACGACTCAACTCACCGCACAATTATAAGACACAATGACCTACAGCGAAAAATCAATATTCCAGCATCCGATGTCCAATAGATAACTGAGGAACTGGTGTGAACCCCGCCATTTCTCGAGACTCATTTATTACTTTTTCGGAACTACCTAACGAGAGTAGTTTGGTGCGAACCTAATGGATGAGAGGCAGCAGGTACGTGCTAGAGGTGTAGCTTGGGGGTGGAAAACAGTATTTAGAGGAGAGTCTCCGAGAAGTGTGCTGAGTTCCTCATCATTCTTATCAAGCTCAAATGAAGTACCGAAAATTCTTACCTCATTTTCACTGTTATTTGGGGGCTAGATTAGGATTTAGAAAACTGTTGACAATAGTGATGATGATCGGCCAGTGCTACAAAGTGATCTAAATAAATTAACTGAACGGTGTTACTACAGGTGTCTGGAAATTAGTCCCAGACAAGCACGATAATGCATTTAGGTCAGAGGCGTTATACGTCATACTCCAGGGAAGACACAGAACTGGATGATGTTCAGAGACTAAATGACTCAGGAATTATCGCCAGTCATGATTTGACAAAAGATGCAATTCGTAATGCAGTTACAGCTTAGGCTTTCCCAACTGTATGCACTCTTCGAAGGACTTTCAAACGATTGGACGAACCCATTTTCAAAGTAGTCTACGCAAAATATGTCAGTCATCATCTAGAATACTGTATACAAGCAGCTAGTCCATGCTTTAATAAAGAGGCATATGATAAGAGGATGGGGAATTCAACTCTCTACCTATTGTCATACCGAAGGAGGAGAGGTGACTTCGTTTTGGCGTACAGTAATTTATATAGCGATTTCGCTATTGCCACACATATCCTTTTCTCTCCCCTTAGGATACATTTGCTAAGCCACCAGGAGAAGGTGGTCAAATCGCAGACGAATAAATAACAAAATATGTGTGGAATCTAGATTCACACAGAGTGGTCAACGACTGGGGTGCCTTACCCGATCAAGTAGTGTCACTTCCATCGGTGAAGGCATCTAACGGGAAATCAAATAACTGCAGATATATATATACAATGTATAGATCGATACAAGGCAACAGAGTCAACCATACTTATAATCTAGATCTGAAATTGATCTGATAATTTGCTGGTTGGCTTTCCGCAAATATAATACTCACTTACCTGCAGAAGCCCAAGGAGCAGGTGATTACTGACAATGGAAGTCACGAGTGAATAACCAAGTGACTGCAATCTTTGAAAATTTCCAAAGGGTAGTTATTAGACGATGGCTGAAAATGCCATAGGTTAGTTAGATATTGATGTTTGTAGGTGCTTAGCGAATTCTGCCCTGAAACACGCAGAAGCCGCGATTCGCGATTTAAAATATTGGCATTATTATGTATTAGGTGTAGAAGCCGGTGCCATGGAGCATCGATTTTATAGTGACTGCCACGTTTTATTTCATTCCAATTCACAGGACACATTTGAGGGCATTGTAACAGATTTACAGCAGATTGCCATCCAATATTCACTAGAGAAGATACTTATAATGCTTCAATCATTTAATTATTATTATTTCCTTTAATTCCTAGAGAAACATAGGGCTTCAGCCACGCGTCTCCATTGCGTTCGGTTCTCTGTTAGAGTTTTCACCTGTCTACAAGTCTGCCCACATGTTTTCATCTCCTCTTCACATGACCTCCTCCAAGTTAACCCCACACTGACGACCAGCTCATCGCTTCTCTTTCGGGTCCCACTCGAGCAACGGCTTGTCCAGTGATGTTACTTGACGGTTTTGAAGTGCACATTGAACCCTTGAACTTTTGTTTAAACTCACTCACCCATCGTTTGGCACGCCTTAATCTTTTGAGTTGTCACTCCTCGGCAGCCTGTAGACGGCCGTAGGTCATTTGATCAGCTGATGAATATTGGCGTTATTTTTGGAAATGACGTCAAGGTTAGGTCATTTTTCGTTGTTTTACACACTTTTTTACATATATTCCAGTTAAAAGTTGATGAAATACGGCGTATTTAGCAGAAATAGGCAATGGTGGTGTCCTTATCCGGCCGTAGCTTACAGGCAGTTTGCAGTTTTTTGGAAAAACGTACTTTTCCGTTCAAAATACGTCGAATTACTTGAAGAAACATGTTATAATGATCTTTTCGTGAATTTTCTTTGCATTTTAATGGATTACACATGGACATGACGAGGTGGGATAGCTCGTTTCGGTAATTATATCATTTACTTCCTTGTTTAATTTTCGTAATGCTGACAAGGCTACTCCATATGTATTTCTTTAGGAAAAATCTGCAGAAATACTTAGAAATTATATACGCAAAGTAATTCCTTTTTTTATGGCATAAACTTGATGTTTGCAGGCAGATGCAATATGGATTTTATATTATTGAAAACTGTGGACTTACATAATTATATACAATTCAAGTAATTATTTCGTCATTTTAAACATATTTAATGGTTAATTATTGTGTTAACACTGATAACAATGTCTATATCTGTATATATCTTATGTCCTTTTTCAGATAATATCTACTTTCGGGAATTTCATGGATTTGGGTGATAAAGAAAAAGATACCTGCACTGTTGTCGATTTTGTATTACATGTTAATTCATTAATAAATGTATTCCTCGTTAATCGTTTGTTTATTCTACTTGATAAGACCGAATATTAGCCCTTGCGTAATATGTGAGGTATAGAGTATATGAGGCTATCTTTGAAATACTAAGTAGGAGCAGATATTTGGAAAAGCCTATTGGTAAAAGATTATGTTGTGGTCAAATAAAGTAAATATGTCTAAACCGTAGAGAAGGTGTTGCGATTATAAAGCGTTTCGAGTTATATATCGTCATAGCAGAATACGTAAACTGATTCCCGATTCATAGTCACAAAGTGAGAATAAATTTACCTGTGATAGTTTGCTTGTGATTTCTGCATGCCGCAGTATACCATAAGGAGAGACTATACCTATGCTGTTAGATGTATAATTCAGTGCAACTACGGTTATCGTAATAATTAAAAACAGAATGCCTAGGGCTCTCACCCACGGAACACGATGCGTTGCTATCTGCTCCTATAACCACGTAAACAAAAGTTTTCCAGACACCGCATTTACTCCTAACAGTTTACCCTCAACTCCTAACTTAGCACGAGTTACTTATGTTACTGGAACACAATCGCATTACAACAGAAGGAAGACAGATTCATTGAAAAATTGTTTATTAAGCAAAAATCAGATTTCAAATGTACAGATAATTCAGATGAGTAGTCCTTTGTTACCGTCAGTAAGTTCCATCTGAGAACACGGCACATATATGTTTTTCCATAAGTCTGAAAAGGTTTAAGAAAAGCATAGTTAACTTGGGTATTACATGCATGATCTGAATAAAAAAATTTTCCTGATAAGCATTTACAAGTAATCACTTTACAAACAATATATATATATATATGTACATATAAGTAGCCCAATACTTTTCACTAAACTTAAGGGACTTTGCAACCTATCGCTGGTCGATATCCAGTAGGTCCATTGAAGCATCATGAAATGATAAAATTGTCTAACAACAAGTTATGCAGTAGTTTCCAAAGCTTGTACAAATATTTTAGCAAAAATGACAACCACTTTATGACAAATAATAGGTATTGACAGCAATAATAATGACATTCATGTTCATAGTGACTATAAAAACAATAATAGGTATTATCATCGCAACGAATTCATCATTAACTTAGATAGACAACTAATAATTATACAATCATGTCAGATAAATGTATCACTTAATCTTAAGAAGCATGTGTTTACTTACTTTCACTGTATTCTCTCAATACTGATGTGCTC